TGCTGTTGCTGTTGCTGTTGCTCATGCTGTTGTTGATGTTGTTGTTGCCGTTGTTGTTGTTGTTGTTGTTGTTGTTGCGACGACTGCTGAGTTGAGTCTATATTATGATGATCATGATATGTACCCGAATCGAAAGATAAACTTGAATTGAAGGAGGAAGTGGGTGAATTGCAATCATTATCCAATTGCGTATTATGTTGCGGCGAATATGAACTTAACGATACCGGGGATAATAATGTGGTACTCTGATTAAAATTCAATTGCTGAACAGCATTTGACGCTTCTAATAAGGATTGTAAGTTACTGTTATTGTTCGAATTTGCGCCGCTGGTGGAATGAGTATAATAAAGTGAAGTATTATTAATGCCCGTTGATAGGGATGACGTTGCACTTGTATTTGAATTAATAAAATTATTATCTGCTGTACTATTAACATTGTTATTGCTGCTGCTGGTGCTGGTGCTGTTGCTGTTGCTATTGTTGCTGCTTGTTTTACAACTATTGACTACTGGCGACGTATAGCTAAGATTGTTCGAAATGTTGACGGAATTATTGTTCGATGTAATGACAGCACCATTCAAATCATCAAGTAGGTCTTGTAAACGTCGTATATATTCAACGGCTATACGTAAAGTGTCGACTTTACTAATTTTTTTATGCGGACCACGACCACCACCCTTAGTTAAATCGGCAATTATTGTTTGCGGTATATGCTGACGTAAACGAGCAAAACTATTATTCACTTGTTTAACACGATTACGTTCGCGAGCGTTACGTCTTAGTACTGATTGAGTTTGATCGTTATTATAAGGCACAGAACGTTGAGTATATTTACGTAATTTAGACTCCTCACTGGCGTGAGGAGGTGCTGGCGCGATATTTTGAAATTTCAAAAGCTTTGTTGCTGCCGTCGTTGCCATCGTATTGGTTACTAAAAGTTTGTTAGTTGTACAACTCACACTGGACATAATGCTTAATGTTATTATTAGATTTTCTTACTTTCAACGAAAAAACACGTAAGTGATTTGCAAAAAAAAAAAAAAAAAAAAACAAAATTATTAAATGATTTTTATGTGCTTTCTTTTTTTTTGTTTTTTGTTTTTTTTTTTGTTGTTGTTTTTGTTTTGGACAAAATGTTAGGAAAATGTAAAGACAACAAGTTGATCCTACAACACTTTGCTTAAGAATGAATCCCTTCGTCCTAAACCTTTGCATTAAGTACTTTAGTTGAATCGTTGCTAAGGTTTCCTTACTCCCGTCACTAACAAGTATGTATGTTTGAATATATAATATAAAACAAATAAAGAGAACACACAATAAATGAGCATTTAATACCTGTCCCGATCACAGGTAAAAGGTAAAAATCAACAAAACTTTAAACTCAAAGAGAAAAAAACATTTGAGAAGAGTAAGAGAAAAGACGAAGATGGTAAGATCATTGTTAAGAGAATTTCGCTCTTAATATTTCCTCTTCTCCCACTCTCACTCACCCTCTTTCACTCTCTCTCTCTCTCTCTCTCTCTCTCTCTCTTTATCTGTGTGTGTGTGTGTGTGTCTGATTCAATTTTAAGTAAACAAAGTTGTTATCAAAATTTCGTATGCAATTGAGTCAGGTAATCGATAAAAGAATCCTGAAGATTTTTTTCTTAACCCTGGGAACAGTTTTCATGTCAGGCTTTACCCCTACTTTACAAAAAAAAAAGAAGAAAACCTGTGTACTCTCTGTGCACAACCTTTCCCTTAACTATTTTATGAAGAGAAAAAAATCTTTTACTTAATCAGTTGATTAATTGATACTCAATTTTAATCAATATTTGAAATCTTTTTCATTAACTGTAGATGAGTTTCGAACATAAACTTACAAAAATCAATAACAGAAACAAAAAAAAAAAAAAAAAAAAAAAAAAAAATAACATAAAATATACAAAAACAATAAATAAATGCATAAATGAACAGAGAAGCGAAAAAAGCAAAAAATCGCAATAAAATCTTCTTCATTAACCTTAAAAATTCTGCTTAAATTGCAAAAAACAACCATCTTCCGATCAGTTTGAATGTATTCTTTGAAAAATACATAAGTGTTATAGGTTTTTCTACTTCTATCAAGCAACTCAATCAAAACTTATAATTTCATTAAAATTTTTTAAATATTTCCAAGTCTACCACATGATGTCGGAGAAATATGCTTTACTGTGTTAATCAATTTAAGACTTTTATGATACACGATTGGTGTTCATTCATTCATATCTCTACATCGTCGCCGGCACTAACAGCGACAACAGTAATATTCATGTGAGATAGCGTATGATGGAATGAGCATAAAGTTTTGTTTCTTTTTTGTTGTTTTTGTAGTTTTTTTTTGTTTTTTTTTTTTTTTTTAATGGGATAAAAACTGTGAACTACAGAAACTACTTAAGTATGCGTAAGCGTCACTCAATAAAGGTGTTCAAACAATTTCATTTATTTCTCTAATTAAACCATCAACAAGTTAAAAATATTTCTGCAAATGAATCAAAAAATTAAAAAAAAAAAAAACAGCCCATTAAAGAGTCAACGCAATAAACTTTTAGTAACTCGTGCTTATTTAAGACCTTGAATTTATCCCTTTTTCTTCTTGTCCCTTCTGCAATATAACAGCGACGACAATTTCGTATTTCCTCGCTTTCTAACGCCACTGAAAAATTATCTTTTACCCTTTTTCATTTTTCTTTTCTTTTTTTTTTTTTATATATTTATTTATTTATGTATTTTTTTTTTTTT